AAGCTCCTTGAGGGCAGGGACTGTCTTTTGCCTCTTTTTTTATCTTCAGTGCTTAGAATAGCACCTAGCATATAACAGGTGTTTAATAAATGTTTACTGATTATTGATTGGTTGGTTGGTAGACTGTTCGATCTATTAAGACAGAAGAGATTTCATTTATTGGCATATCTATCTACCTCAGCCAGTACCTAGGCATAATGCTTGTGCACTTCATAGACCTATAATGAATGCTGGGGTGAATTAAGTCATCAATCTTATTTATTCTGATTCTATCTTCCTGTGACTCTAAAATGGGTGCTTCAAACAGCACTTTATCTTCCAAATAAAGTATCAGATTCAGCAATAACATGAAAAAAAGCTTAATTTCATCATCCCTCCTGACTCCACTTGGAACACTTGATACTCCATGTCCATTCTAAGAAAGCTGACATTGTCACCAAACATGATTGCCAATGGGTTCTGTATTTTCTTCAGTAAATGTGTTTTCTGTGCCCAAGTGCACTGGAAACTTAACTATATTGTCTACATAAGTGAAACTTACTACATTGCCTACACAAGTGAAACTGCCTAAAGACATCTTCTGCTTTGGATTTTAATCTGTAAAATGAGGCCATGATTATAACCACTGTAATGTTCATGTTAACTACTTTTATTCAACAGTACATTCCTATTTTTAGTAGAACTGGAATTGATTATCTGCTACCTGGCACCAAAAATCAAGTTTTCTCTTCCTTTCCAACATTGGCAACCCTTGTTTGGAGAACAGGAGGCAAGTGGAACAGATGGAAAAGGGAATATAAAAAACTCTTTTTTCTTCTTTTTTTTTAAGAGTTGGTGGAATGGAGCAAGCCTGAAGTGTCTTCACATAATGTGGAAACCTCAAACAGGGAATTTCAGCTACATGACATCATGTGACAGAAGGCAGCATCTGCTCATTAATTCAATTTGACACATTTATTTAAAACAACTAGGTTCAAAGCACTTTGGGAGGCCCTGTCAAAGACAGAAATATTAAATAAGGCACAATCCCTGCCCTGAGTTTACAATCCAATAGAGGAAACACCACATACACAAATAACTTCAGAAAAAAACTGAACAGAAGATCCTAAGGTACAAACTAAACACTCTACAAGATACGAGAAAGAATAAATTATTTTTCATTTGGGGCAATCAGAGAAGGTTTCATGGAGGAAATGGTATTTGCCCTGGAAAGATGGGAGATGCCAAATAATTGAGCGGAGCATTACAATTACAATGTTTCAATTATAAATTTTAAGTATCCCAAAAAGTAATTAAAGATTAAGTGGAACTGACTAACCTAAGCAGAAAAGAAGGAAGGAAGCTAAACTCTGGAAATCTGAAGTCATAAACAGGTAGGAGCTCATGTGATAAGAGATTCCCTCTATCATTGCATAGAGAAATTCAATGATTTAGGACCACCAAGAAGATGCAAATCAAAAGTTGGGGGAAGAATCTGGAAGGTGGGGAGTTGAGTGAGTCAGTCAAAGCATCTGCCCCACTTCAAGTTCCCACTAGCACCCTTTTAACACATATCATGCTGCTAACATATTCAGCCACTCCAGGGGCTGTATTTTCCAAACTAGAAATCAAACATCTGGCTTGACCAAGGACATAAAGCTGCATTAAAATTATACCAAGCCAGGATTTCCTAGCGGGATCAGCATTTCAAAGCGGGGAGATGCATTAGGGCTTATCTAATCTAATTCTTTCATGCTGCCAGGACTCAAGAAAAGAAAGCTAATGGCACAAATGCTGAATTTGCTTCAGTCAATCAAGTTAGTCAACAAGCAATAATTAAGCACCTTCTGTGTGCTGGGTACTCTGCTAAGTCCTGAGGATACAGTCACTGCTCCCATAGAGCTCCTAGTCTAATATGGGAGACAACATGCAAAGAAGTATAAACAAGACACAGATGGGATAAACTGGAGATAATCCACAGAGGGAGGCCCACAGCTCTGCAGGCAGCTCTGTCAGCGGCAGAGGCCCAGGCCTATTTGTGCGATGTCTAGTCAGCCTGGCCCCCATGCTACCGTGGTCAGAGAATTCTTTTTCTGGCCCTGTCATCAAGCCTGCTTGTTTCTGGATCACCCCACCAGAAGGGTGTGAATGAAGTCTGAAGCCTGCTTCTTACAGCACCGTCAAGGACTCAGCAACTTCTCAATTCTTGTCAAAATCTTTGGTCTCAATTCTTCAACTCAATGGTAAATTTGATCCCTCATTAGTCATACTAATTTTGCCATTAACTCCCTTTCTGACCTTGGCAACTAATCATTTCCTATCTTCAGGATTTAGTCAACTCATTAAGTCAAAGGACAGCTTACAACAGACAACCTAGAAAGAACTCCTCAGATCCCAAGGGCTTCGTTACCATCTCTAGGCATGTGTGGCACAAATATTTCATACTTTGGCATGCCCCAAACAGAATTCATTATCTTTCCCACAAAATCCACTGCTACTCCGAGGGTGCCACCACCCTTCCAGTCACCTGGGTCCAAATCATCCTCAACTGAGGAAGAGGAGAGAAGAGAAGAGGGAGTTTATGGCGAATGGCCTCAATTTTTCTCTGTAAAACATCAGGCAAGGTTCTCAACTGAGAGAAGAGGAGGAGGAGGAGGAGGAGAAATGGGAAATTTAAGGAGGGATGAGAAAGTTTGGAAGAGCCTTGATGGAGAATAGGAGAGTGAATTGACCCAAGAGGTATAGCAGCATTGCCTAGCAGCAGAGAGAGCCCAATTGAGGTTATGCAGTAGACCCAGTCAGAACAGCTGAGTGATTTTCTCCACCTCATTCAGCAGCCCAGGCATAGGAGAAAAGGTGACAAACAGTGGGGGTGACCCAAGGCTGAGCCTTGGCTGGGTGTAATTATTGATATGATAAGGGGGCCAAGGATTAAAGACAGAAGGACAGTGTAGAGTTGAATTGGTTCACTAAGGAGTCAAGATGGGGGAGAAGAGAGAAGAGTGGTTAGTGAAGGGAAGATAGCCTGGGAGAAAAGTGAGGGGTCAAAGGACTAGAGGTCATGGTGTGGATGAATGGTAGGGTTATGTAAAGGAAGGCAAAGAGGTGAAGGCGTGGGAGGGTTAAAGGGGATAGGAATGAGGAATCAGGTGGTAGGAGGTGTGAAATGGGTTTTGGAAGATGATCTACAGGAGTTCAGAGTCCTTGGGATGGAAAGGCTATGAGCAGGTTTGAGAATGTTCATTGTTGAGTGGACAACACACCATTTCTGTGCCCTCAAAGGACAAAGGCAGCAGGAGATGGGAAGCCTGAAGTCGAAGGGAGGGCTACTCTTCTTTGTACTGCTGATTCTCCACATCCCATTCGGGAAATTTTTGAACAAAAACATTCTAACAATTTTTCAACCCCCATGCGGGTTCTCCCGTAACAGCCTGCTGTTTGGTCTCCCTGCCACAAGTCTCTCCCCACTCCAGTTCACCATTCTTCAGCTGTCCAAGCGATCTTGGACACAAGCACAGGCCTGATTCTGTCACTCCCCACCTAATACACTCCAGGGGCTCCTGGATCAAATACAAAAATGAGTGTTCAAAGCCCCTTCCTACCTTTCCAGCCTCCTTACACTTTACTTACTTCCACATACTCTGCCATTTTTCACTAGCAGTCCACCGTGCCTGGAATGCTCTCCCTCCTCACTCCCGGCCCTCCCCTTTCTGGCTTCCTTGGCTTCATTCAAGCCCCAGGTAAAACCTCACCTACTGCAGAAAGTCTCCCAATCCCCCTTCATGACAGTGTTTTGACCGGGCTTCTCTTGACCATTTCCGATTTATCCTGTAAATATTTTGTTTTTACATATTTGGTTGTGTATTGTCTCCTCCATTACTAAGAGCAGGGATTTGCCTTTCCTTGTATCCTGAGACCTTGGTATAGTGCCTGGTATGTAGCAGCTGATTACTAAATGGTTACTGACTGACTGGCTGACCTCTGTCAGACTGTCCTTACTTGCTAAACAATTTGTTACCAAAAATCCAGCTTAAAAAAAAAGTTCCTACTGTGCATCCAATTTATAGTCACACTTACCTTTGGTCAGAGTTCTGCAGTATTTAAAGGGACATATGCAGATGAATCAAATGCTAACAGTGAGATTCTTGCTAAAAAGCAATGTACTATAGCTCCATCTGAAGGAAATGTCTTCAACAGAATGTGGACTTTTGGAGCTAACTCTGAATAGTTTTGTTACCATTCTAGCAAAGACAATATAACTTACCTATTTTTCCTCTACACATTCCAACTGTTCTAACAACAAAGACAATTTTAAAATGTTGGTGATAATAAGCCAGGCACTTAAAGAGGCTTTTTTTGGGGGGGGGGGTCATTATTAGTTTAATTAGTTATTTAACAAATTTAGAAAGAATACTGCTACTCCAGATTTCTGCTGATAAAATATGTTTATTTTCTGTTTTAACATACAATATCATATTCCTAATGTTTATATCCACATACTGTAACTACCCTTCGGGCACAACAAATATCTGCAGCTGAAAATATGACAGTGCTGAAAGGAAACTCTGTTCTATTTTAATGAAGGTCACAAAATATTTCCTCTGTTTGTTTTTTTCCTGCGATGCTTAATGGCATTAAATATAACTAACAAATGCCAACTTCAGTTGTCATTGAAAATAAAGATAATCTCTTTGATGTCAAAGATTCTTGGCTCTCTTTGCTAATACATGTAAATCAAAACGCCTTCCTCCTCTTCCTCAGCATAAGCAGGGCCAAGTCTGCCCACAGGACCCAACCCTCTCCCTCTTCATTGACTTACACAAACAAATTGGAATTTAGGAAAGCATGTATGTGATGTACTGCCCACTAGATCTTTTATAATTCCTTGTAACCAGGTGAATATTTCTAAAAATATCTGAATAGGTTTGTACTTGTAATTTAAAAAAAAACAAAACAGAGAAGGTTCACTTTGAAAGACCTCTTGAAACAGAAAGCTTTTAAGGTAAAGTATTGCTTCTTACCTCTTCATAAAACTTCACCTGAGGGACAGCTTCATCAATTTCATTTAAACAAAAATCTTTAAAAAGCAAAAAACCTAAAAGCAAACAAAAACATTTTTCAGATTGTGTCCGAAAATACGATGATTTCTGCAGAAGAACATAATAACAGAATAACTCAATGCTGAAATGGCCCCAGTTGGGAAGGGATCAATCTGTTCCCCAGCTCTGCTGGACTGTCTGGACAGGTTTCCTTGCCTTTGCAAATGGGAAGCCAGGCCAGCTGATGCCAAGGCCAAAGGCAACAAAGTGACAAATAGAACAAGGGTCGCTGTCCTTCCCAGAGAATAAAGACCACAAAGGCAGGGGCAACCTCAGAGCTCTCAAATATCAGGAAGATGACCTAGACCTTGGAGGAAGAGGGGATGGCACAAGCAGCCTGGGGCTGGAGCCTGGGGAGAGCAGGATGAGGGGGTGACCTCTGAAGTGGGTGGCCCCACCAGAGCGTCTCAGCCAGCCAAGCTGGCCTTTGCCCAGGCTTCACATAAGTCATGCTCTGAGGCCTCATTCCTCATATGTGCTTTTCCCTTAATTTGTAGGAGAATTTCCTTTTGAAAACAAAGCACGGCTAGGCTCAGCCGAGGACAGGCCATGTGTACACAGACCAGCTCAGGGTGATGAGGTGTGGGGATGGAGGGGGTGGGGCGCAATCCAGCCAGACCAGACCAGCCCAGGAACCCAGGACAGAGTGGGGCAGAGAGGAGTGAATCCACTGAGGCAAAGCATCAAGGCCAACAGTGGATATTGATTCCCTTCCCAGTTTTCGTTTTTGGCTTCACATAATTACAATCATTACATCAGTACTTTCAGCTTACGGTGTGGGTCAGTACCATGGAAAAGCTCTTGGTCTGGAGTCAGAGACTCTGGGTTCAAATTCTGATTCTGCCACTTGGGCAAGGCATTTCCCTCTCTGGGCCTCAGTTTCTGCACGTGTAAACAAGAGGGCTGGGCTAGCTAACTCGTTCTAGATTTCAGATCCTCTAATTGTCTAACACGTAACACTGAAACGTGAGTCCCAGTGAAGCAGGCAGGGCACTCAGCCACCGGACCAAGGCCTGGGAGGCTCAAATTGTCAGTGACTTTTTCTGTACTTTAGCAGATGTAGTAACCAGAACTTTTACCAGTGGTAAGAGGTGGTAACAAGAACACAAATTTAAAAAAAAAAACTAAAAACAGTCCAAAGCACATTATGCATACCCGATTAAATGTCCTGATGTAAAATTTATCAATGTTCTTAAGAAAATGAATAGTCATTTACCCTCAAATCCCAGTGCTTGACACTGAAGCAGAGGTGCCAATCAGAATATCAGGAGAGGAAAAGGAACTGCAGAGGTTCAAGGACCCCTGGTGTGCCAGGAGAAAAAGCAGAGAACAGTGGAAAGAGCCCTGACCTGGAGGCAAGGAGACCCAAGTTCAAATCCCACCTCAGATACTTCCGAGTTGTTTGACCCTAGTCAGGTCGCTTCATCTCTGCCTGCTTCAATTCCCTCATTTCAAAAAGAAGGGGTTAGACTCACCGTGTCTAAAGTCCTTTCCAGATCTAAATCTGTGACCCTGCGATGTTCCCTTGGAAAGATGTCGATCACAACCTCTCACAGGTGACTCGTGTCCACTAACAAATTCTTCCCAGAGGGTCTGCTCCCCTCCCCCCAAGCCAGGAGCCTTCCTCCATTTGTCCCGACAGCTGCAGGACACCAGCGAAGCACTTGTACGACCCCCTGTCGTCCCGCCCCCTCCCACAGAATGAGCCCGGCTTCTTTTTCTGTCAAACATCTCCACGGCATTTCTTCTTGGAGGTTTCACATCAGGTTCCATGCTACAATCTGCTCACACTCACCAGGAGTTTCTCCTTTGGATTCTGTGTGATACTCACTTTCCAGTCTTCGGAGACTCTTGTCTTGCTGCTACGGGCAACGCTGGCCAAGCCCAGAATCTGCTCCCTTTTCACCACCACTTACTTCTGGGAATCCCTGAATTCCTCCAAGATACAGCTCAAAGGAGATACCCTCCCCCATAGTGACTGCAGAAGTGGGAGTCCGTGGGTGTGAAATACTATATAGAAAGTGGGACTTCTTTCATATGTTAGATTGTTTTGTAGAACTTATTTTTTTTTGTTATTTTTCTTTTTTTATTCTTTATTATAGGAAATGGTTCTCTGGGAACACATGGGGAGGAATACAATGAGAATGTAGGTCTCATTTCTAAGATATATAAAGGAGCTGATCCAAATTTATAAGAACAAGAGCCATTCCCCATTTAATAAAAAGTCTAAGGATATGGACAGGCACTTCTAAAGGTAAGAAACCCTGACCATCTATAACTACATTCTTTTTATAATGCTCCAAATTGCTAATAATTAGAGAAATACAAATTAAAGCAATTCTGAGATCCCACTGCATACCTATCAGATTGGCAAAAATGACAAATATTAGACAGTCTATAGGAAAACAGGTACACTGATGCACTATTGGTGGAGCTGTAAATGGGTAGAGTCATTGTGAAAAGCAATTTGGAAGGACACACAAAAAGTTACTGAACAGTACATGCCCACTGAAGCTAGTGCTAGACCTATGCCAAAAAGAGATCACAGATAAAGGAAAAGGTAGTATATGTAAAAAGTATTTATAGTCAGGCATTCAACAAGCATTCAGTAAGTACCTACTATATACCAGGCACTCTGCTAAACTCTGGGGATACAAAGGAAGGTAAAGGATGGTTTCTGCCCTCAAGGAGCTTAAAATCTAATGGGAAAGGCAACACGCAAACAATTATGGGTGAACAAGCAATGTACAAGATAACTAGGAAATCATCAACAGAGAGAAGCTGCTAGAACTAAAGGAGATGGGGTTAGAATTAAAAGAATTTTGTTCCAGAAACAGCAAGGAAGCCAGTGTCACTGGCAGAAGAGTACTGGTGAGTGGCAGGAGTGGTAAGAAGATTGGAAAGGTAGGGAGACTTGGGCTTTGAAAGCCAAGCAGCAGGTTTTATATTTTGATCCTGGACGTCATTGGGAGCTACTGGAGTTTGCTGAGGAGGAATGGAGTGGGATGATAATGACTGGACCCAAACTTTAGGTAAATCATTTCGGTGGCTGGAGGATAGATTAGACTGGGGAGACACTTATGGCAGACAGAGTCACCGCAGAGCAGGAGGAGATGAGAGCATGCAACAGGAGGGTGGCAACAACAGAGGAGAGGAGGAGGAGGGGAGATGGTACAAATGTAAAACTGACAGGCCTTGGCCACAGGCTGGATATGTAAGAGAGCGTGAAGAGTCAAGTGTGACATCTAGGTTGCAAGCCCGAGGGACTGGGAGGATCACGGCGCCCTTAAGAGCAACAGGGAAAGTCCGGAAGGGGAGAAACAGGGAAAAAAGATAGCGAGTTCAGTTTTGGACAAGACGAGTTTAAAATGTCTACAAGATATCCCGTCTGAAGTGTCTAAAAGGCAGTTGGAGATGATGATGGTGATGATGGTGATGATGATGATAGGAAAATGGAAAGAGATTAAACACGGATATAGCACCTATGACACGTCAGCCACTATACTGAGGACTTTTTACAAATATTATTTCATTTAATTCTCACACCAACCCTGTGAGGCAGGTGTTGTTATTATTCCCATTTTATAGATAGAGAAAATGAGGCAAATGGAGGTTAAGTAGCTTGTCCAGGATCACACAGTGAACGACTGGGGCTAGATATGAACTCAGGTCTTCCTGACTCAAGGACCACTGCACAACCTAGCTGACCTAATATCCAGATGTGGTACGGTAGGGAGGTTGAATAAGCAGATCTGAGAATCATCAGCAAAGAAATGGCAATTGAATCCATGAGAGCTGAGGAGATCACCAAATGGAATGTTATATACAGAGAGGAGAAGAAGGCCCAGGGCACGGCCCTGTGGAACATCATGCTTAGGAACATGTCATGGCTGAAGATCCAGCAAAGAAAACTGAGGAGGGGTCTCAGATAAGTAGGAGAACCAGTAATGAACAGTGTCCCCAAAACTTAGAGATAAGAGAGTATCAAGTAAAAGAAGGTGACTGACAGTGTCAAAGGCTGCAGAGAGGTCTAGAAGGACTAAAAGGATAAAGACTGAGAAGCCATTGGGTTTGGCAACTAAGAGATGACTGGTAGCTTTGGAGACAACAGTTTCAGTGGAAGGATGAGGTCAGAAGTCAGACTGTACAGAATTAAGAAGAGAGTGAGAGGAGAGAAAGTGGTAGCCTCCATTGTTGATGAGATGATAGTTAGCAGGGATGGATGGATCAATTGAGAAATGGGGAAGACATAGGCTTGTCTGCAGAGAACAGGGAAGCAGTCAGTGAACAAAGTGTGGAGGATACAAAAATAAGCAAAAGACAGTTCCTGCCCTCAAGGAGCTTACAATCTAATCATTAGTTATGATGATGCTACCTATAAAATGTACATCACAGTTTTAATAGATTAATTATCAGAAAAGCCCTAATAGATGTCAGGGGTACTGATTTCATTTAAAATGCACAGTGCTTTTAAAATAATTAAGCTTTTCTGAGGGAAAAAAGCTAGGGTACTACTTAAAGCAAATGTTAAAGGTAGAGTTCTCAATTCCTGAATAAATATAGCATAATGGAAATGCTAATGCAATTTAACTGAAGCAAATGTTACCAGGCATCACTGTAATTAAGCCTAATTCTAAAACAAAAAGAGAAAAAAAAGGAGCTTTATGTAGCAAATTAAAGTAGTCTCTTCCAATAGGCTTAAAAAAGTATTTTCTAACAATTTATATAAAATACATATGAACTCTTTCACTTAATACATTTCAATGCAGAAAGCCTTTGGATTAAAATAAACAACTAACAATCACACAATTCACCTAGTGTTATCTGAATTTATTTCTCTTCCATCATTAACAATCACATACAAAAAAATTCCCCATTTAATTTCCTGTCACACAATACCATTATTATAGGTACAATGACATGCCTCTATTCCCCACATCTCTTTTCGGTTACCAAACTAATAGTCAGTGGGATAACATTGTTAAACCTCTTCTCC